AATATGGACCCCAGCGTCCTCGCCGCCTCTTGGTGGCCACGGGCTGTGGGCGGAGTGGTGGTAGCGCCCACGACCTTCACCTGCGGCGACCAGATCTACGACTTCTTCGTGGTCTCCACGGCGCTCGCTGGCCTCAGCCCGAAGGTGGAGGTCATCAAGCCCACAACCCTGCACCCGCACGCGCCAGTGCGGCTCACTTTCAGCGAGCTGGGCAGCAACGCCATGATCTGGGTCCTCAAGACCCCCAGGTTCTTTGACGTGGGCTCGGAGGTCTCGGCTGAGCAGCGCGAGAAATCCCTGCAGGCGGCGACCCAGATCAGCTGGTCAGCCCCCCTCACCGACAGCGACGGCACGCCCGACGCGGCGATCAAGGAGTTCTTCGAGGCCGCGGAGCTCCACCTGATCGACCAGTTCGGCATCTCCGAGGGTGAGAGGTACCAGGGCAGGGCCAAAGGACCCCGCACCGTCAGGAAGAAACTGGCGGACCTGCAGCGCACGGAGGCTGTCAGGAAGCTCAGCCCCCTCACCAAGTGCTGGCTCTGCCTCGGGAGGATCGCCAGGCAGCTAAGTGCGGCTGCTGCGGTCTGTTCACCCCCTGTGGGGCACGTGGGCTACATGAAGCACCTGGTGCAGGTGGCCAAGAGCTTGGGGCCCAAGTTCGAGCAGGCGGGCTGCGCCATGTTCGAAGGCACGAAGCTCGACTCGCTGATCGAAGTGATCCAGGAGCCCACTGAGCAAGGGCAGGCCTTCCTGCAGGTGATCGAGAGCACGACGGCGAGACACTGCAAAGAAGACGCCAAGGCGGCCAGGCTGCGCTGGAAGGACTTCGTGGACCAGGCCTTGGCGAAAGGGGCGAAAGGAGCCCACGCTGTCATAAAGGACCGCGACCAGGTGCTGGACTCGGTGATCGCGCACTGCCCCGACAGCCTGCCGCTCCCTGTTGTTGGCCAGCAAGCCCTGGACCATATCCTCATAGAGTGGAAGGCCCTTTGGAAAGGAGCCGACGGGGAGCACAAGACCAGACCAGCCGACTGGATCTGCTCCATGGAGCTGCCCCCGATCACGGCGGACGACATCCTCGAGGCGGCGAAGTCGTTCCCGAAGCAGACCGCGCTGGGCTGGGATGCGTTCCACCCGCGGCTGGTCCTCTCCCTGGGCAGGCCCTTCGCCGAGAGGATGGCAGAGGTGCTCACGGCTTGGGAGCAGCAGCCGCAGCCCACAGCCCTCTTCACCACGGTGATAGTCTTCCTGGGGAAGCCAGACGGAGGCCGCCGCCCGATCGGCCTCATGAGCATGTGGATGCGCATCTGGAGCAGGGTGCGCCGCCGCTACTGCGCCAAGTGGGAGGCGGACCACCCGCTCCCCGAGGTCTGGGGCAAGGATGCGAACACCAGCTGTGACAGGGCGGCCTACCTCCACAACCTGGGGCTCGCGCTCGCCCGCCAGCTCGGCTTCGAGGCAGCCTCCGTCTACTTCGACATCAGCAAGTTCTACGAGCGGATCGACCACGACCTTCCGCGCCAGGCCGCGGAGGGCAGCGGCTTCAGCGTCGGCCTGCTCAGGGCCCTCTGCGTAGTCTACGCTGGGCCGCGCCGAGCCTCGGCGGACGCCGCCATCAGCGAGCCCATTGAGGTCAGCGGCACCATCATCGCGGGCTGCTCCTGCGCGACGACGCTGGCCAGGCTCATGCTGCACGACCTCCTGCTCCAGGCCAGGGCGCTGCTGCCCGTCGGCAGGGTCGTCAACGTCATCGACGACATAGCAGGCCACGGCATCGGGTCGGCGGCGACGCTCAGCCGAACGATCACGGGCTTCGTCAGCGGCGTTGTCGAGATGCTGGCGGACAAGCGGCTGCCCATCAACTGGACGAAGACGAAGGTCTTGGCCTCCACGGTGGGCCTCCAGCGCCGCCTGCAGCAGGAACCCGACTGGCAGCTCGCGGCGGAGGCCTTCGTCTCGGGCCACCGCGACCTCGGCGTCGACGCCACGGCTGGCAGCCACAGGCGAGTTGCGACTCAGGTCGGCAGGGAGCTCGCGGCGCTGCGGCAGGCCAGCAGGCTCCACAAGATCTTCGGGCCTGGCCTTCGGCAGGCGAGGGTCTTGCGCGCGGGCCCCTCTGCCAAAGCCCTATGGGGCTCGGCCTGCAACGGCATCCCGCCTGGCCGCATGAGAGCCCTGAGGCTGGCAGCGGCCAAGGCGATGGGCAAACTGGCTCCTGGGGCTGCGCTGGGCTTCCTGCTGCAGTGCTCGCCGCGCGGCTGGCGCCAGGACCCGCTAGTGGTGGCCACGGGCTTGGCCGCACTCGCCTACACCAACGTCCGCTGGGCAGGCCAAGCTTCCGCGGCGGCGATCCAGGCCTGCATCGCGGAGAGCGCCAGGATCGTGAGGCTCCAGCGCCCTTGGGCTGCCGTCAGGGACCCGATCTCGGCCTTGGTGCTCACGCTGCAGGTCATCGGCTGGGGCCTCAGCGACGACGGCGACTTCCTGCAGGACGAGTTCGGGTGCTGCTACTCCGTCCTGCGGTACCCCCCCGCCTTCTTTGCGGAGAAGGCCAAAGAGGCGGCCAGGAAGGCGGCAGCCTTCCAGGAGTACGACGCCAGGCCTGAGACCCTGTGGCCGTGGCAGCTGCCGCCAAACTGGCGGGCTATCAACCAGCTCCTCGGCGCCGCGCCCACGGAGACGTGGTCCAGCCACCACTGCGGTTGCCTGCGCAGGCTGGCGACTCTGTCACTCTGGCCGCAGGCCAGGCTGGCCAAGCGCGGCACCGACATCGACGACCGCTGCCTGCTCTGCAGCGAGGAGAGCGGGACTCTGGCCCACCGCCACCACAGGTGCCCTGCCTGGGAGGGCTGGCGGCGTGATCGCAGGCCCGCCGACTTGAAGCGAGCTGCCGAGTTGGTGAGCACGATGGGCCACCGCTACGAGGAGCTCTTCTGCCAGGGCCTCTTCGTTGACGCCCAGTACCTGGTGCAGAGGCCGCGCTGGGACCCTGGCTGGGAGCGCCGCTCGCGCGGCTGGGACGAGGGCGCGCTCGTGGTTCCCGCGGGCACCCTCGTCTTCACGGACGGCTCCTGCGTCAACAACGACTTCCCGATGATCAGGAGCGCGGGCTGGTCGGTGGTGGTGCTCGCGCCCGACGGCGAGTGGATGGCGCAGGCGTGGGGGGCGGTGCCGCCTGCCCTTGTGCCCAGCCAGACGGCGAGGGCAGGCGAGGACTACGCGGCGGTGGTCGCCCTCACGGACATCGTCGGCCACTGCCACCTCATGATCGACTGCCTCGGCACGGTCGGGGCCTGCAAGGACGTGAAGAGGGCGGCGGGCCCGACGGCCCAGTTCGCCCACCTCTGGGCGAGGGTCGGCGACGCCGCCGAGGGGGTGCACGTGAAGCACATCCCCGCCCACCGTTCGCGGGCGGCCGTCGAGCGGGGCGAACTCACGGAGGTGGAGCTCTACGGCAACCGCCTCGCGGACCAGCTCGCGAAGGCGGGCGCGGCGCTGCGCGCCATCGCCGACGAGGAGGCCCTCCTGCTCCAGGGCTGCCTGGCCCGAGCCCGTGACGCGGCGCGCTACGCCGCCGAGTTCGAGGTCCAGGCCACGGAGTCGGGCATGCGGGACTCCTGGCCCATCAGCTCGCTGGAGCTGGTCGACCTCACCCCCTACATGGCGGCGGAGCTCGACGGCGAGGCCGACTATTTGTACGCCGCCGTCGCGGAGCCCGCCCCTGGGACAGGTGGATTCAGCCCACCGAAGTCGCAGTCCCAGGGGCGCGGCGAGTTCGGGATGATGCACGACGCGGAGGTGCGCGCGGCTGACGATGGCGAGGTGCAGGCCTCGGCGGCTGACGGCGGCCCCCGCCTCGCCACGGCGGCGGCCCTGGCAGCGGCGGCGGCAGCTGGCGCCTCCAGCTCGAGGCCTTCGCCCGCGAGGCGCCGCCCAGCCTCGGCCGAGACGCCCGCGGAGGTGCTGCGCCGAGTGGCCCAGCGCAGGGCGCAGGAGCAGCCGAGGCGCCGCGAGGCTTCGGCGCCCGCGCCCAGCCCGCGCCTGGCGGCGGCAGCGGCGGCGTGCAGCGGCCCAGCCCCTGCGGAGGCGGCAGATGCGGCCCGTCCAGCGGGATGGAGGGTCAACGGCCACCTCCTAATGGAGTCGCGCGTCGAGGGCGACGACTCCGAGCCCTTCCTGGTCTGCGCGGCTTGCTGGATGTACTGCCGCCTCCCCAGGCACGCGCACCGCGGCCTGGGCAAGCCGTGCGGGGCCAGCGCGGCGGCTGGGCAGCCCAAGTGCAAGAAGGGCTCCAGGGCACAGGCGCGGTCGGACTTCGCACGTGGCATCCTGCCAGCGTCGAAGGATCCGATCGCGCCGCTGGCCTCGCCAAAGGAGAGCACGCGCCTGCGCTGGGCGGCGGCGCTCCAGGCCAGGCAGGGCCACGGCGCGGTGGAGCAGGCGCTTGAGGCGGCGCCCGCGCCAGCGCAGCGGCTGCCTGCAGCCGCCCCGCCCCCGCCACCTGCGGCTGGCGCTGGGGGCCAGGATGCAGCGCCGCCGAGCGCCGCGGCGCCCCGGCGCCTGGCCGCGGCGGCCCCGCGGGCGGAGGCCGCCGAGCCGCGGCGGATCCGCCCAGGGCTCGAGGGCGCCCTCCGAGCCCACGGCTTCGCGGACGCTGCGGCGGCCCGCGAGCGCGGGAGAGCCGCGAGGGCAGCGGCCGCCCGCGCAGGCAGCGCGGCGGGGCTTGCCGAGGGCTGGTGAGGGCTCGGCTGGCGGCTGTAAGTGCTCTCGCGGCCCTCCGCCTGCCCTGCCGCCCCCCCTTTCGAATGCATGCATGAAACCTCCGCGGGTCTCGGCGCGCGGAGCCCACAGAGATAACAAATGCCTTCACCGCAGCCGTTCTGGGCTCAAGCTTTGCTTGAGTCTTCCGCGCGCGTCGGTTCAGAGCGGCTTCGCGCGCGGGGGCCAGTCGATTGATGCAGATTGCCTGCTCCCCCGAGTGTCTCGGTGCGGTGGCCGAGGCGTTCACAGGCCAGCAGGTGCAGGTGCTCGTGTTCCGCGATGCCGACATCGTCGAGCTTGCGATCGCCAAGACCCTGCGTGACGAGGAGTGTGTTCGGCGCTCGTCAAGCAGGGAGTTGAGGCTACGGTCGCGGAGCAGGTCCTCAAGCTCTTCGGCTTCGGATCTGTACTCAAGGGTTCGGTGGCCCCGCCAGCCGCCGTCGCCAGCACTTCGGGAGTACAAGAAACTGCTGACGCAGGCGCGCTCGGAGGAGCCCCAGGTGAAGCCACCCACCCCGCCGCCAGCACCAGGGTGTCAGAAGGTGCTGGCGTGGGAGCCGCGGGTGGCTCACCAGGAGCCCTGGCGGGCTCGGGAGACGCCAGCCCTGGCCACGGAACCGCCTGCGTCCAGCGTGAGCGCTCCAGCACGGGAGCAGGCGGAAAGGAAGAACCATATCTTGCTTCACCTGCAGTTGGACCGCATCTCCTCGCAGCATGAGGCGCTGGCCCAGGCGGCGAAGGAGCTGCAGCAGAAGAAAGTAAGTCCTTCGCCTCGGAGGGCGTCGGCCCCGGCGTTGGACTCGGCGCCTTCGCAGGGGGCCCTCAAGAAGCGGCGTTGGCGCCGTGTGAAGGCCAAGAAGAAGGAGGAGCTGGAGCTGGAGCATGTGCCCTTTACTGCGGACACACCACCACCTTGGAGGAGGTCGCCCCCGTGGAGGCGGTGAAGACCTTCGCCTTGGATGTGCTCGACGAGGGGATCAGCGCCGAGGGCGAAGAAGTGGTGGCTCAGCAGGCTGCCCCAGCCGCCGGCCTTCGCACGCTCAGCAACAAGGAGAAGAGGGAGCTTAAAAAGCAGCGGAAGCTGCCCGACGTGGAGCGCAGCCTTCGCAGGCCTGGCCGGGAGAGGGACCCAGGCACGGAGCCGCTGGAGGTGCTGCACGCAGAGCACCAGCGCGCGGGCCTCGAGTGGATCTGGGAGCAATTCGTAGCCAGGGCGAAGGATGAGAAAGCCCGCTTCCCAGAGGAGTGGGACTGAGGGCGCCTTTCGGGCCAGGCTGCGTTGTAGAGCGGCCTGGCCCCCGAATCTCCTCTCAGGGGCGCGCTCACAGGTGTTTCTCTCGTGTGCTGCGCGTCCTTGGCTCGGACAGCTATCCCCTTTGATGAGCTGCGGCGGTAGCGCTGTGGTATGCGAGTGGCATAGGCTGCCAGGGGCCCTGCGCGGCTGCGCTGCGCTTTCGGGGTTCCTGCCTGCATGATTTTCCTTGTGAATTTCTGTTCCTTCATGGATGTGTCGGCAACAAATGCCTTCACCGTAAGTCAACCATAGACGCTTCGCGTAATCCCACCAGCCCATCCAGAAACGATGCCCAGAGAAGTTGGCTCGATCAGGGGATTGGGCAGCACGCAGAGGAAGGGTCCCCCAGCGGAGGCCTCTTGGAGCGTTTTGGGGACCTCTTGGCGGCCCAGGGGGCCTCTTGGAGCGTCTTGGGTGCCTCGGGGGGCCTCTTTTGGGGCCTCTTGGGGGTCTCTTGGGGGCCTCTTGGAGGCCTCTTCGGCGCCTCCCGGGGGCCCTCTTGAGGCGCTCTTGGGAGCCTTGGGAGCGCTCTTGGGGCCATCTTGGAGGAGATCGATTAACAGAGATGGGAGCTCCAATTACGGCCCCCCCCCCCCCGGGAGACTCACAAATCGCCTCTTGGGCCCCTCCTAGGGCGCTCTAAGAGCGTTCTTGGGCGCTCTTTGAGGCCGTCTTGGGGCTCTCTTGGGCCTCTTCTGCCCTCGTGAGCCCTCTTGGAGCTGTCTTGGGGCCTCGGAGCGCCATCGGAAGCGAACCTGGGTGGAGGCTGCGTGGCCTACGGAGCCGTCTTGGAGCGGTCGTGGGGCCTCGTGGAGCATCTTGGGAGTCATCTGGATCCATATTTGGCTATCTTGGTCCATCTTGGAGGTCATCTTGGGCTTTCTGAAGCCCTCCTCGCGCCATCTTGGGCCATATTGGACGCTCCAACGACCCGCGACCCCCCCTCCAGGCCCAGGGAAGGGGGTAGGGGGAGGGGTCAAGCTACCCACCCGCCTGCAAGCCGTCTTGCTCACTCCCACCCGCCCTCCCAACACATAAGTAACATCCGGATGTCAGCATATCGCGTAAGAACGTCGCAGACGCCATGGGTTTGGAAGCCTGTTGGGCCCGGATTTGAGTTCTCTTGGCTAATTTGGGAGCCACTGGGAGGTTTCGAAAGCCCATCGAAAACGATAAGGCGAAAAGGCAGCAGCCACTGATGTCTCAAGCCAGTCGGTCGACCACCTGCGCCCAGAAGGCAGGTGGGATCCTACTGGCGCCCCAGCCGTCCTTGTAGAATACCGATACAAAATGGTCGCGGGGCGGCCGCGCATGCTCCAAATGTGGAGTCCGAATGCGCGTTGTATTGTGTTTTGGCCGGGATGGGTGGGGGGGCCCACCTCGGGTTATCATGGTTCCGGGTTGGCTGCCGGCCGGGTGGGGGATGGGGTGTATATTAATAGGGACCCCCTGGATAGGGAGCCGTCTAGCTCACTCCCACCCGCCTTCCCAACACATACGTAACACCCGGGCCTCAGCATGTTCAGCGGTCGTCTGTGGATGGACAGCTACTGGGAACCAAAACCGAGCCCATGTGCGCGACGCTGGGGCGAGTGGCGCCACGCGTGCCAGGCGCGCCACGCGCGCCAGGCACCCCTGGGGAACGTGCCAGGCACGCGTGGTGCGCCAGATGCGCCACGTGCCGCCGCGTGCGCCAGGTGTGCCGCGCACTCCAGCCGCGCCAGGTAGACCACGTTCGGGGCACGTGCAGAGTGAATCGGGTGCGCCTGCGCACGTGACAGCACACGTCGGGGAACATGTCGGCCCCCACCATCCATGTCGAAAACCAGTGCCCGTCATTGTGTCTGGTGGGCCTGTTCACAGCAGGCCATACGCCACCAGTTGACAGTGATCGCAGGGTGGCCGCGCATGGTCCAGATTTCGCCGCGAGGTGCACTTTGTATGGTTTTTTTTGTCATGGATGGTAGCCCTGCGCGCAGCAGGCAATACGTATGCTGACACCCTGCCGTCCCTGTCCAAAAAACAATACAAAATACTTGCGGGCCTCGCGAACATGACTCCAGAGTTTGCCCCAGAGTGTACTTGGTATTGATTTTTGACAGGGATGGTGGGGTGGGGTCCTCTCCTGGTTGGCTGCTGGTCGCCTGGGGGAAAGAGTGTATACTATTGGGGAACAATGATCAACCCCTCTCCGAGGGGGAAGAAGGGGGTTGGAAGAGAAAGTTCTTTGGACCCCCCACGCCCAGAGGGCTGGTGGGATTCTGTGGCCGATCCCTTGCTCGAAGCACCAACGCCGACGTCTTCACGAACGGAGCCTGCCGCAGGGACACCGCGAAACGCGAGCAGGGCTGCGCCAGGGCCGAGCAGCGCGCAGCGGAGCACGGCGCCCGGCCGCCCGAGCGCACGTCGCCAGGGCCGCTCGGCGAAGCGGGCCCGGTGATGTGCGCAGCGCCCCGTGCCCCGGGGGGCCGTTCTCGGCTGTACGTACACATTGGTTCATTTCTAATTCTTCGAGGTCTTTGATTTTTTTGGGGGGGCCAGGATCCTTTCATTTCTAGTTCTTCTATCCGGGGCCGCTGCCTGGCCACTAGGCGGCCAGGAGCAATTAGAAACGAGCACAATTAGGAATGAGCGCGATTAGAAGTGAACGACGTGCAGTGGGGGCTCAAGGGACGGGGTCAATGAATGGGGTCAGCCAGAGCACCAGATCTTGCAGGGCCCTGCAGAGCTGCAGAGCCAGGGCTGTACTGACCCAGGCCAGGGCGCAGGGTCCTGCAGGACCCTGCAGGATCTTGCAGGATCCTGCAAAGCCTGACTGACCCGGGCGTTCCAGAAAGGGCCTTGCCTTCGAGGATTGAAGGAGTTGCCATCTCTTCCTCGGTGGAAGGCGGCGGAAGTAAAACGAGGCCGCCGCCGCCGGCGGAAGCTGGTGGAAGGCTGGCGGAAGCTGGCGGAAGTCCAAAGTTGCGTCGCAAGAGATAACAGCATTTTTGGCTTCAGGGTTTCGGGGATCGGCCACGTAAGAGTGACCTTTCGCTGGAGTGCGGGCGCACTGGGGTCCCCAGAAGACCGAATGCGACCCGATAGCAGCGGCTTGCGCGCTCCGGTTCGGCCTCCCCGCGGCCCCCCAAAGTATAGCGCACCACAGGTCGATCTTGCCCAGGGCCACTCTTACGTCTTGCGTGAAGCCGATGGTCGCCCCTGCCGCAGCTCCGGGCAGGTGCGGGCCCAGGCCTCCCGGAACGGGGCCCGAGCAGGCTGGGCCAGGGGCTCGCGCCGCCTCGCCGCTGCGGCGGCGAGGCGGCGCGCTGTGCTGCCCCGAGCTGCTCCACGCCGGCGGCCCCGACCCGGACAGGCGACGTCCTGATTTTTCCAACGTCAGTGCGGCGTCTCTGGAAGTCCCAACCCTTTCCCCGCGTGACCGGCTTTTCGTCCCGAGCCGTTTTTTGTCGGCCCCGAGGCCCGGCGAGGGTCCCCCGAGGCCGAAAACGGCCAAAGACCTCCCGTCCTGATTTTTGCACGGCGCGATCATGTCTGGGGATGCGTCGGCGATGCAGCGCGAGCCTCCAGCCCTATCAGCTCGGGCCCCACTCTGGGAGGCCTCAGGCGGGAGGGGCAGCCGGAGCAGGAGCAACACCAGGAGAGGCGGCAGCAGCAGCAGCAGCAGCGGCAGCGGCGGCAGCGGCAGCGGCAGCGGCAGCGGCAACGGGACGACAACGACGGCGGCGGCGACGACGACGACGACGACGACAACGAAGATGATGATGACGACGACGACGACGACGACGACGACGACGACGACGGCGGCGGCGGCGGCGACAACGACAGCGGCGGCGACGACGACAATGACGACAACGAAGATGATGACGACGACGACGACGACGACGACGACGACGGCGGCGACGGCGATGGCGGCGGTGACGACGACGGCGACGGCGACGACGGCGGCGACGACGAAGCAAAGCGGCCCTCCGGCGGCGGGCACCGGGCGGGGGACTACACCCTGACTCCGGATCCGCCCTATTTTGGGCAAATTCGTAAGTAGGGCTTGGAATTTCCGCCTTCCTTTTCAAGCCCCGCTGATGCCAATTTCCGCCCTACTTTTCTGTTGCTGTTTCCGCCCCACTTCTGCGGGTTTCTCACCCACTTCATGTTGGGTGCAGAAAATTCCGCCCTACTTGTTCGGCCTCTTATAGGTGGATTTCCGACGCAATTTTTAGTTGGAAAAAAAGCCAAAGTAGGGCGGATTTGGAGTCGGGGAGGGGCTACAGGTGGCAGAGCGAACGCTGTTCTACTGGAACAACGACTACATAGTGAAGCTCATCAACCAGAACCGCGGCGCGCCCAGCCCGCCGTGGCCCGGCGCCGGCAGGGGCCAGCAGGCCGGCCGCGCTGCCGCGCAGCTCATCGGCTGCACGTGGGAGCGACCCTTCGCCGGAGTGACCTCTGGCGCGGGCCCGCGGGGGCCCCCCGATCGCTGGATTGAAGTCGGGCCTGTCCCTCTACAGGAGGAGCATGTTCAAAAATAGTCAACTCGCCTGGGGGCGATGTTTTTAAAGTTTTATTTTTGGCTGGTTATTTGGGGAGGCATCTCTTGGGTATTTTTCCTTATGCTTTCGCCCGAAGTCCGCCTGTAGGGGGGACGCGCCCGACCTCACGCTGGACCCTGGCATCGCTCGGACGTGTGCATTTTCCCCGGCGAGAACCATCGAGGACCATCCTGGACCATCGAGCACAAAAAAAAACACGCACGAGACCGACAAATGCACGGGAACTGGACGCTCGAGCGACGGTAAGTGGACGCGGAGCGACAGCGGCGGCCCGCACGCCTGGCTTTGGCCCCCTCCTGCCTAGGGCCCCCTCCTGCCCGGGGGGCCCCTCTCTCTGCGTCCGGCCGGAGAGCTGTCGTCGCGCTAGGGGGTGGGGGGGCGTCTCGGGGAGAGAGGAGGAG